ACACACTAGTCCTGTTGCTTTGGAGAACCCCAACCAGTACAACTGCAGATCAAACCATGTACCTGCTAGCACATACACGTATGTGTGGAAGTAGGAAGCACCACTGGCATGGAGTTTCCAAAATTATCAGGGATGGGGGCTACTTCCATCATGCTATTCCACAATCCTCCTGGTCCAGGCTGGCTTCTCGGGCTCCAGAGATCATGTCTTATTCCTACCAGAGAGGGAGAGATGAGGCCACATCTCCTGCATTTAGGAGACTTCCTGGAAGTTGCGTGAACATGAGCATCCTGTTGGCCAGAACTTAGTCGCCTCTTGTTGCCAGGGAACTAGGAATGTAGTCTTTATTCCAGAAAGCAAGTGTCCAGCTAAAACTAGAAGGCTTTCTACAGTGGTAGGAAGGGGGAATGGACATGGCACTCACTACAATACTCCACAAGTCCAAGTGATGGGTGCCAACAAGGATTACTTATTTAGAAAGTAGGAGGAGTGGGGGCAGGCAGAGAGGGCTGCACAGGGGAAAGGGAGTCTGGGCAAACTTTGAAGGAAGGGTTAATCCGAGGAAGATGCAAACATCCCAGCACACTTGTCCCAGGCTGATGGACTAAACACACTGTGATAACAGCATGACGGTGGGCAGTCTCAGTCCAGGATCTGGCAGTGTGGAAAGCAGGCTTACTCGGCAACAGGCGGGCAGCAGCTGCCAGCCAAGGATGGTCAGGCTGGCAGGCTAATGGGGCCCACGGCCAAGGGCATCACAACCGCTCTGGCACCCCTCCGGTCTTCTCTGCAGCAGAGTAGGCGGGACTTGCATCCATCTCCTCAGGGCAAACCAGCCAATGGGCAGCCTCGCTGATGCTGTAATGCTCCAACTCAGCGTTTCATTGGCCACCTCTCTTTCTGGGCTCAAACTGTTTATTCATTTTTTTTAAGAAATTGCAATTAGGCATAAACAGAACACAGGGGAGGAGGACTGACTGCCTGGGCCTGGGTAGGTGGGAGAGCGCGCCCTGAGACAGAAGGGCCAGCTTCCGAGGCCTCGCACAGGCCCAGAGAGCCAGAGCTTCCCTGCCCAGGCACCTGCTTCCCGTCAGGGTCAGCACAGGGATATCTCCATTATTTATGTTTTGTCTTTACAGCTTTACAATTCACACTTCTTAATGCAGGGCCGCTGGGCCTCTAGCACACTGCAGCACTGATGCACATGGAGTGTCTGTGAGCAGGAGCACTTCCCAGGCCTACAGGCCTGCAGAGCCTGCTACTTCCAGAGCACCCAAGGCTCCGCAGTGTGCCCGCAAGCACAACGCCCCTATAAGGGACACGTCACTGCAGAATCCCCAGTGTCAGTCCTGCTCCGAGAGCCTCCTCATGGGGCTGTTACCTGTCCTCACCCCTAGCTTGGGTTCTGCCTGACCAGGCTCTGGTTGGCTGGAGGGTTGTGACATACAAGGCGTGAGGGTTGCCCCTGGTGACCCATGGCCCTAACTGGGGTGCAGAGCTGGGAGGTGGAGCCGAGTTTAGGGCTGAGGGAGCCTTGATCTGCCTTCCATCCTCCCCGATGCACCTGAGTTTGGATCCCAAGTGGTCAGGATCCTATCCAGGCAACAGTGACCAAGGCCCTTCTCAGCACCAGCCTCCGGGGGTGCTGAGACAGACTCTGCCCTCATGCTGGTCTCTGCAGGACCAAGAGGTAGAACTAAGCAAGTCCCTGCAGCACAGGTGCTGGGCACAGTAGTAGAAGTCACACCAGGCATGGTGGTGACTCAGAAGAAGAAAGCGGCCTTTGCTTTGAGAGGAAGATGGGAGGAGGGGAGACAGCAGGGAGAAAGGGAACAGGAGATGTTAAGACAGATGCCCATGCTGGAGCTTGTCAGTGAAGCCCACACAGCCCAGCAGCCTCACAGTTGTTTCTGTCTCAAGGAACCAAGTCTGGAATCTGAGAATCAGCTTCTCAATTTCATTGGACAAGGGCCAGACTGGCCAGTGCCCTGGGGGTGAGATGAGTGACCAGTGCCTGTGGAGAGGGGAGGCGAGCCTAGGCTGGTACAGACCTGCCATCCCTTCCTGGTTCCCCTATTACAGCTCCCAAAGCGGCCTGGGCTTCAGAGGAGCTCAGGTCAGGCAACGTCCATGTGGTCAGAAGCCCCCGGGCCCTCAGCTCCCAGCAGGTTAAACACCCTGTGCGGTGGGGGCAGGGGTACGGGGTGTGGTGCGGTGGATGTCCGTACGGCTGTGGCGCAGGGCTGAAGCGGAGAGAAGAGGCTGCTGACAAGATGGAGCAAAGAGGAGGAAGAGAGAGGACGGGGCGGGGGGGGGGGGGGGGGGGGGGGGGCAGCAAGGTGCAGTGCAGTGCTCCTGGACTAGGAGCTCTGCATTCCAGCCCCAGCTCACTTCTTACTGCCTGTGTGACCGTGGGCTGGTCATCTCTGCTCTGAGCCAGGCCCCTCACCTGTAAAAAGAGGTGGGAGAGGGTCTGTGATTTCTAAGACCCCCTTGTCCTCAAGGGTCATAACATTATTTTCTAGAAGGTCCCTTGTCAACTGCAGCTGTTACCACTGTGAGGAGGAGTGGGCAGGTGGGTGCAGATGGGACGGTGTGCTGGTGGGGTGAGTGGGGTGCTGGTAGCTGGGTTGACTGCAAGACGGTGCAGCAAGCAGCCCCCTCTTTTTCCCTCCCCGCCCGCGGCCTGCTGAACCCCCAGGAGCAGCAGCTAATGTAATCAGCTTCTCCATCGCCCCATAATGGCCCTGCAGCAGCCTCTGCAGTCCCCGCCTCTCTGCTGAGAGCAGGCTGTGGGCTGGAGGGAATGAGCTCTGTGCTCTCAGGGTCATCCTAGGACAGAGCCCTCTGCAGCCTCGGACACACAGCAGAGCGCACTTGCTCCTCCCACACTGAATCCCACAGGCGAGGATCCCCCTTTGCTCCTCAGCTGACAGGATGCCCCCCCACCCTTTGCAGTAGTTTCAAATTGTGTTTAACTAAGATGCCCTTCTTTAAATGCAATCTTATGTGGAATTATTTAATCATTGTTTCCTGAAGTATGTGTGTGTGGTGCTGAGAACTGGGTACACGATATAGGGCCCAGATAGCCTTGTCTCTGCCTTCCTAGAGCTTGGCTTGGCAAGTGAGGCTGGCCATTAACCAGTAACTCCTTAATGAACTCTTGGGATCAATGTGAAGGAGAAGAATGCAGGATGCCTTTAGGCTGTGTGGTCAGGAAGGAGTTCCTGGGAAGGGGTGTTCCTGCCTCCAGCTGGACCTGTCAGTGTGGGAGCGGGGACCAGGCCAGGGGGAGCCCTTGTAGCTGATGCACCGGGAGGGACCAGCAGCCCCGCACGCAGAGGGGACAGCGAAACCTCGCCTGGCGGCAGGTGCGGACCCTCCTCATAGTGCCAGCCTAGGCAACAGTTCCCACCTATGCACCCACAAAGGCCAAATGTGTAGTGAGATGTAGCACAGATAGCTGAATGGATTGGAAAGATGTGAGGTGCGGTACACACACACACACACACACACACACACACACACACGCGCGCGCGCACGCGCGCACATGCATACACACATATAATGGGATACTATTCAAACATAAAAAAGGTGAAATATTGCCATTTGTAACAACATGGATGGATCACAGAAGTGCTATGCTAAGTGAAATAAGTCAGATGAAAAAGAACAAAAATCATATGATTTCACTTACATGTGGAATATAAAACAGAAAATAAACAAACAAAACAAAAACAGATTCAGAAAATAGATGAGTGATGACCAGAGGGGTAAAGCAGGAGGGAGGGCCACGTGAATAAAGAAATCAAATACATAGTGACAGATGAAAACTAGACTTTTGTTGGTGAGCAGGCTATAGTGTATACAGATGTCAAGTACATCTGAAATGTATATAATGTTATTAACCAATGCTGCTCCATTAGAAAAAAGAAGCAAAAGCAAAACCTTTCCTCCTTCACAGAAACTGGCAAATAAAGAATGTATGCACACACATGCACACACACACATACACACAGGAAGATGACCAACTCCATAAAAGAGCATTAACACATTTAACAAAAGAAAGAACTCATAACTAAGAAAATCAAGCTACAAGCATAATAAGAGCCATTTTAAAATCCATATATTTTTAATATATCTTATCTAATAAGATAGAATATGCTAATTGGCCCTCACACCGTCACAAAAGATGATGGTGCCCACAGCCAATAAGGAGGAAATATGCTAATTGATTGTCACACCCTCAAAGATGGTGGCACCTACAGCCACAAAATAGTGGTGCCCAGTCCCTTAAGCCCAACCGCATACCTGCCACCATAGTCCCTCAGTCCCTTCAGCCCCACAGCCATCTAGGGCTGGCCTGAGGCATAGGCAAGTCTCAGATGGTGGCTTCCCAGCTGCCCAGGGCTGCCCAAGGCTCACATAACCAAGGCCAGCCAAGGTTTGCACTGCCAGCAGTGGCAGCAGCAGAGGTGTGATAGGGGCATCACCTTCCTCTGATTACCAGGTCATCCCCCTCCCCCCCCCCAAGGGCTCCTCGATTGTGAGAGGGAGCAGACTGGGCTAAGGGAACCCTCTTCAGTGCATGAATTTTCATGTACCGGGCTTCTAGTCCAGAGATATAAAGGAAGGTATCTATGTATCAAATGAGAAAAGATGGTAATTAATTAAGAGCTGGCAATTATGAAAGAATCAAGGAGAGATCTTAGAAATGACTCTGATTATAGTGTTGAGAGTGAATTGCAGGGGCACTATGCATATGGCTAGGTAAGAGATGACCATGGTTTGGTCAGGGTGGAGCAGAGGAGAGGGAGAGGAGAAGAGGGATTTAAAATAGATTTTGAATGATGGGTCTGGAGGTGTGGATGTGAACATGGAGAAGAGGGAGGACTTGGTGGCAATGCTTTGTAAAGGGAGGATGAAAATTTCCACAGGTGAGAATAGAAAAAGGGGAAAAGCTCATTTTTCTAACATTAATTAATTCACACAAGGTCACATTTTACATTATTTTAATTAACTTTTATTGAGTTCATGTTCAAAATGGGAAACAATATTCATTAAAATAGTCATGAGGACTGTGGGTAGAACAGCATGGAGTATTTAATCAGGATAGAAAATGGGAAATCTTTTTATTCTGCTCTGATGCATGGTGGGGTTTCATAAATTCATAACCTTTCTCAGTCCTCTCCCCTGTGCAGATGACAGGAAGAAATAGACTTGAAGGTCTTAACTCTCTCGGGAAGCCTTGACCAAGACTTCTCACCCATTTCCCCCTCTGCAGCCCCTGGTCAAGTCCCTTTCCTGTCTAACACTCTGCAAATATCTGTCTCTCAACCACTCCATTATCTTGGCATTGTTTCGTTTATTTTTTTTTATTTCCCCATAATATTGTGAGCTTCTGGAGGGCAAAACCTTGTGTAATTTATTTCTCTATGTTCTAGTAGGATACCTGACATACAGTAGGTGCTCAGTATACGTTTATTGATTGAATGAAAGCCAAGAAAAATTTTTCTGGGTTTCCATTAAATTTAACAAAGGACATAAATGTCTATGTTACACTATGTGGAATGAAAATGTAAAGGGCAAGTCCTTTTATAGGGACATTAATGGGCTGCAGGACCTGCTGCATGGGACAGGGTGGCTGGTGGAACACAGCTGGGGGCTGGGTTGTTCTCTGAAGTGTGGATTTATAAGTAATGCCAGTCCAGTACTCCACACCAGGGAATGTAGAAGCAAAGTCTTAACACATACCCCATGGCACCCCTGCACTAACTTGGGGCCACCAGAGGGACTTTTGTTTCATGTTTCAATAGCTCAGATTGTCTTCAAATTAAGCAAAAGCATTTTTCTTAGCTGAGCTGACATTGATTTTCCAGATACCTGCCCTACTTACTCATAAGGCCTCCGCCGTTCACTTTCCTTTTCTCAATAAGCCCTGTCAGAGGAAATTTCACCCATGAGTTCTTGTTGAGCGTGTGGATATGCCCAGTTATGTAACAAGTCCAACTGAGGACAGCAAATCCCTCCTGGCTGCCCCATTCAAGTCCTCCAGCCATTTGACTCACTGTCCTCTGCATTCCAACCCCCTCAGGAATGGCCTTGCCCACTTGCCATGCCAGCATGAAATGAACAAGAGGAAAAAGCAACTGTCTTCTTATTTTTCAAGAGGAGACATGTGAAGGCAAATTTGAGGCTGAATTTTATTTCTCTGTTGAAAGTTGTAAGTACTTTTGTGACTTACTTCTAAGAAAACCCAATATTTAGATTTTTAAATATAAACTCACACACTATTCATACAAAAGGATCATCCCATTTTCAATTCAAAGAATTGCCTTCTTTGAATTCCTGCAAATCAATAAGAGAATAAGACAGATAATCAAATTGAAAAAGAAACAAGATGTTTAAACAGCATTTACATTGAAAGTTTATCTTAATGGCCAATAACATAGAAAAATATGCTTAATTTTATTAGTCACGAGGCAAATTCAAATTAAAAGCATAATCTAATATTAATAGACACCCATCAACATGCCTAAAATAAAATAAAAAAAAAACCAGAAAATAGTAAGTGTTGACAAAGTTGTGGAGCAATTAAAACTCCCATACACTGCTAGTAAGAGGGGAAGTCAGTGTACCACTATATAAATCTGTTCGGCAATATTTATAAAACTGAAGTACGCATAACCTCTTACTCAAAGATTCTACTCTTAGGTGTACACCCAAAAAAAGGCATATCTATCTATATATATATATATATATATATATATATATATATATATAATCCACCAATACACATGTGCTAGAATGTATATATCTGGTTATTATACAAATATCAATCAAAAGTAGAATGGATCAAAAAATTGTGTTGCGTTCACATAATAAAATATTCTACAGCGTGAGAATGAATCCACACTACATGCAACAACATGGATGGCATTTACAAATACAATGTTAAACAAAAGAAGATAGACACAAAAGAGGATATACTACACCAATCCCTTTAAATAGGGAAAACCTGGCAAAATTAACCCATGTTCTTACAAGTTAGGATAGTGGTTATTCTATGGGGTAAGTGATGGGAGGGGAACACAGGAAGAGAGCTTCTAAAGTTTTAATGTTTTACTTCTTCATCTGGGTACTGGTTACATAAATGTGCTCATTTCTCAGCATGTGTATTACACATCAATAAAAAGTTTTTTCTTAGAGTATGATTCAATTACAGATTTTCCATGTTGCAGGAAACTTTCTAGAAACATATCTGCTGTCCGGCATAACATGTACCATCTATACTCAATTAGATGGAATAATTTCCCTCCCACCCTATCTTCACTACTGACTGATTCTGCAGGGGAGGGAATTGGGCTGGTTTCTGCGTGCATGGCACTGGGCCGTGTGTTTTTGGTGTTACTCTCGGCTCGCACCAGACCTGTGCACCCAGGTGAGACCAGAGGGCAGGGACCACTGTGCTTTCTCCTTCCTCTGCACGCCTCCCCGTCCCCAATGCCCCGCTGACCAGAGGGTTCCTCGGAGGATGCAGTGCCGGCTGCAGAGGACTCCTCATTCCTCTGCTCAGTCCTCAAACAAGTTCTGGGGCCTGTCCTCTGAAGGAGCATTTATCATGTGCCCACAATCCCCTCTGTCCACCCCACACACGCCCTCACCCGTGCCCATTTCTCAGAGGAGCTGGGAAGTACCACCCGAAAGAGCACTCCTGGGAAGAGACCAGCTGGCACCATGACTGGCTGGCCTCCATCACCACATCGTACCCCTGGTGTTTCCTGCAGAAGCCCCGTGCTGTGATTATCATTTCCCTAGTGGCTACCTTCCTTCTGCAAGTAACAGCCTGGGTCACTGCCATCCAGGGAGGCTCTGCTGTCCTCTCTCCCATCCAAGGCGTGGGGACAGTCTATCAGGACTCACCAGCCAGAGACCCTGGTTCTCCCAGAGCTCAGCGGAGCCCAGGACAGTGTCATCAGCCCCCACCTGTCCTTTCTCTGCAGGAGAGAGGAGGCCACAGAGCTTGGCAGGCTTCCGCACGCTGCTTGCTGGTCAGTACGCGGGAGCCCTGCTCTGGACGCAGACCCCGCCGGCGCTGTCAGATCGCCCTGTTTGCAGACAATGCCTGGCTGCCCAGGTTCCCGCAGGCAGCCTAATTGCTGCTGCCCGTCCCAGCCGCTGTGCAGAGCTGTCGGTATTGATCACACCAGCTTGCCACTGCAGATGCAGAGCCGCTCTGAGATACGCTGGGAAGGCACCGTGCCACCCCATGATGTGATTACAGCTCGGCTTTGGGAAATGAGCTGTTGTTCCCAGCTCAGCCCAACAGCATCTCAACCCCAGAGGAGCTTGCCCAGGCCTGTTGAGCTCTCCCTCCCAGTGCTCCAGTGTTGTCATGGAAATCAGTCAAGGCAGCCTTGCAGACAGTGTCTAAACTGGCATGTCTGGGGTGAAAGCAGGGACACACTTGGTCTCTGTACCCAGGGTCCCCAGACTCCAGCCTTGGGCCAGCCTCTGGTGCCCACTTTCTGTGCTGCATGCATCCCTCACCTTTGGGAGGAAAACTGCTGCAAGATCCCGTCCTCACTTTGGCCAGGGCCTTGAAGGTCATCTGAGAGGTGCTCATTTTACCAATGAGGACACAAGCCCCGAGAAGTTAGGTGACCTGCCCGCGGACACACAGCTGTGCAGGTGGAAGAGATAGGAAGAGAGTCCAGGCTTCCTGAGTCCACGACCCCACACCTGCCCAGCCCCACTTCCCACTGCATCTGACACTGGCAGCGACGTTCACGCCATCCCTGCTGTTCGGTCAATGCGTCACTTGACACTGGAATCCCCTCCTGTACATATTGACAACTGAGGCAGGACAGGTGGGCATCGGGGCAATGAGCAACTGTGCAGCCTCTGTGGCCACTCCCACTGTTCAAACATGCCCAGGGAAGAGTCACTCACTGGCTGGACGGCTGATCCCAACTGGCATCGGTGCAATTCTTTCTCTCTTCCTGTCGGCCCTGAACAACGCCCACAGCCCTGCTCCCTTTAGCCTCCTCTTTGCTTTGTTTTTTAGAGTTTCTTCCCTGTGAAGATGCTCCTCCAGGCAGAGCACAGGCTCCTCTCGCCCCCGCAATGTGGCGCGGGCTGCAGTCACGCCTGGGCCTGTGGTGAGGCTTTGGCGGGAAACAAGACCCACCGGCAGCCGGGCGGAGTGTTCTCAGGTGCAGCAAGTCTCAGTGGCTCCTCAGCCATCCGTCTGCCGCCCCCTCAGGGCCCTTACCCGCCCTCTAGCTGCTTGGGGTAGGGGGAGGCCTGGGCCTCAGCTTTTTCTCCCCCTCCCCCCCTCCACCCCTTGCCTTGCCCCATCCAGACTTCCCAGGCCTGCGCCCCACTTTCTCAGGACCTATTGTGGGTGACTGGCTGGGGAATGGGCCAATGCATAAGGCTGGTCACGGCTGCTGGTGATTTTCATTGTTTTCCAATAACTCCCCAAAGCGCACACCCTGTGACCCACCCTGGCGGGGCTGCTGGCCTCTCGGACCTTTGTTCCCACATCTGAAGCTCCAGGTCTTTTTAAACAAGAGCCACCAGGCCTCCCATGAGTTTACTGCTACTGCTTTTTCAAAAATGTTCTTGCCTTCATACATCTGTGCTCTAATGCAGACAAAGCAGACCCGAGCCCGGCTTTGGCCCGTCCTCACTGCCATGCTCCCTTCCTCAGTGTCCTCGTCTGTATTAGGGGCACAGTCACACGTCAGCCTCGTGTTTTGTGTGAAGGATAGAGGGAGATGATGCACAGGGAGTGCCTGCCCCAGTGCGTGGCCCTGTGTGTCCCTCACAGGTGTGACAGATGTCCCCATCGCATCAGCACCCGTGAGGCAGAGAGGGCATGCTCCCCACAAATGCCTACAGTCAGAGGGGTGCAGGTGCACCCAGGTAGGAGCTGCAGAGGCCCTCCAGGGCCGCTCCTCCCCACCCCTGTCCTGCACTCTTCCGGTGGGTTTGGAAGGTGCAGAGTGAGGCCTTCTCATCACTCACATAGCCCGACTTCAGACAAGAATCTTAGAGATTCCGTGTTCCACATTGTCCCGACCCTCGGTGCAACAACGGGGGTACGCAGAAACCACCTAAGAGAATGAAACAAACAAGGAACTTGGAAGAACGGAGGCAAGACAAGGTTCTGATCAAGCCTCAACTTTATTCTTTGAAATGGCTGTATATATTCAGCAGAAACAAAGGGGGGCAGGGTTGCCTATGCAGAGGGGTCTTTGGCAGGGTATAATTGGTTTAGGCACTGAGTGGCAAGGTGGTAAGGTATCTGGCAACACAGGATTGGCTAACTGCCAGGGCGGAGTAACATTCCAAGGTGTAACATTCCAAGGCTGGGCTAGCTATGGGGGAGGATCAGGAAGGGGAAGTTGCAAAGATGTTAAGTGGCAGGTTAATCTTATCTTCTGGCCAAACCCTCAGGGCACCGCATAACTTCTGCTAGAAGGAACTTAATTCTATTTCCTTAAGACGGAGTTGCTTGTCTCAACTCTGATGGCTCCCAACACCACATTCTCAGAGTTCGCCCCAATGACTTAGCTTATAGGGAAGACGTCAAGCCCCAGAGAGGTTAAGTGATATACCTGGAGGCACACAGCCTATTCTCCCACCCTCCATCCCCAGGTGTGCTGGCCCTTCTCATGTCTCAGGGCTTCTAGATTGTCCTTGGCTCGCTCCTCACAGGCCCTGAATGGGGGCTGCGGGGCTTGGCTCCAGGCACAAGAAGCCCCTCCAGACCCGCCTCCTCCCGCCTCCTCCCCAGGAGACAGGCTTCTCCAGGTCACGCTGTGCCCCTTTCACACAATCTCCTGTTGTCAGGTGGCTATTCCTCTGCTCAGGGCAAAATGGGCCTTTCAGTCAACAGCCCTGGGAGTCAGGGCAGGAAAAGGCCCAGAGAGGGCCACAGGGGGAGCAGGGACCAGGGACCAGCTTACTGAGTGGCACACGGCCAGCAAGGGCCATGCAAACCGCAGTGGCTCCCGCAGTGAGCCAAGAGCCCAGTTCGCCTCATCTTTTCTGCTTCCTGAGAGGCAAATGTCCTAACAAAGATGTGATGCTGAATGAGGCATTCATTTCAACATCGCATAAAAGCAATCGCCCTGAAAACACCTCATTTTCCTTAAACACCACAGAGCCGAAGCCTCGGGTTCTCCTCCCTCCCCAGCTTCCCCCTCCCAGCCGGCCCTCCCTCCGCCAGCAGCAGCTCACTGTGCCCTGCGGATTAGCTCCACTTCCTGGCCTAAAACTGTGACCCAGGTAGCCCAGGGATTCTCTCTGGTGACAAAAAGCCTCTGGACAGCACCTGCCTGGCAGGCAACTGGCCCTGTAGGAGCCGCAGCGGAGGGCAGAGCGGCAGATGGGTCCTCCTGGGAGCACGGGGCAGGTGGCCAATCCCCCTACAGTTTCTCCATCCAGGGTGCTGGGTGGCACATGGGCAGTGCCCTCAGAGCTCTTCCCTTCATAAAGGGCCTAAGGCTAACGCCAGGCTAACGTGGAGACAGAGACAGGGACACAAACAGCCCTCTCAGGGGCTTCGGGGAGGGGGAGCCCGCCATGGAGCCTGGCAGCCTGTTTGACTCTCCCGGTTGGGAGAGAAGAGGCTGCCCCTCCTCCCCCAGCCCAAGGCCCGGCCTGCAGGACCAGAGGCTGGGAGGCCAGCATTGGGTCCCCCTCTTCCTCTTCCCCCCTCCGCTGCCCGTCCCGTGCTTGGCTTCCCACTGGCTCCCCTGGCTCTGCTACTGCGGGGCTTCCTCTCACCTAACCTCCCTCCACAGACATTCACCAGAGGCTCCACCCAGGCTGCTTGCTCTCCCCCAGACATCCCAGTTCTTATTATAAAAAACACCAGCTGCGGTGACAGAGCCCTCTGATGTGACAGGCATCGCAGGTTCCACTCCAGCCATCCTCCTGTGGCCGGGTGTGTGGGACCCCAGCCCAGCCCCCAGGGGAGCTGAGGCCCAGAAGAGTTTCACCAGGTCCCTGAGGGTCACCAGCCGGGCTCTGAAGACTTGAGCCCAGATCCGCTTGGGGCCTGAGTGCCTGGTCTCATGGCCATACTGGCCACCCCGCCTGCAGGACTCAAGGAAAGCCACCATGTCCAGGAGGGAGCTCCGCGTCCTGGCGGTGGTGGTGAGGAGCTCGGGTGGGGAACCCAGCCTCTGGGCTCAGCGGCCCGCACCTGCAGCCACTTCACCCCAAATGACAAGAGACAGGAGCCTATAGCCACTCTGGACAACACTATGGAGGGTCCTCAAAGCTTAAACCAGTACCACCATGTGACCCGCAATCCGCTTCCGGGAAAGCTCTCAAAGGAAACAAAACCAGTGTCTCCGAGAGCTGCCTGCACCCCCAGCCATGACAGCATTACTCGGGGCAGCTGAGACATGGAAACAACCTGAACATCTTTGGAGGGATGAATGGATGAAGGAAGAGTGGTGTACACATACAGTGGAACATTATCCAGCCTTTAAAATGAAGGAGACCTCTCCCATTACAACATGGGTGAACCCAGAGGACATTTGCTAAATAAAATAAGCCAGACACAGAATGACAAATACTGCATGTTACTGTTAGACATGTGGGATCCAAAATAGTCAAACTCCTAGAAGCACAGAGTAGATTGGCGGTCTCAAAGGTTAGGGGAGGGAGAAATGGGAAGATGGTGCTCAGGGTACAGAGTTCAGTTATGCAAGACAAATATGGTAAGTTGGGGGATCTAACATACAGCATGGTGACTCAGTAAAATACTGTATTGTATACTTGAAATTTGCTAAGAAGATAGTATTCTGACCGAGAGAGCAAGAGAGGAGAGAGAGAGAGAGAGAGAGAGAGAGAGAGAGAGAGAGAGAGAGAGAGAGAGAGAGAGAAAGAGAAGGTAATTAACTGAAGTGATGGATATGTTAGTTTTATTATAGTAATTATTTCACAATGTACATATATGCGAAAATGTCAGGTTGAATACCTTGAATATATATAATTTTTGTCACTTATACCTCAATAAAGCTACATGTGAGAAAGAGAAAAACATTGATTTATTATTCCACTTATTTATACATTCATTGGTTGATTCTTGTATGTGCCTGACCAAGGATTAAACCCACAACTTTGGTGTATTGGGACATCTCTAACCACCTGAGCTACCGGGCAGGCCCTGATTCTCACTTTAAGAATGTGAAGCTGAGACTCAGGCTGAATCAAATGGCAGTCACACAGCTTAAAGGTTTCTTCTCTGCTATTGGACAATAAATGGGCTGTACCCCCTCCTCTTCTCTCCCCTATTCTTGGAAGCCTCCTGAGTTGCTCTTCTTGGGCTTTGGGTCAGGTTTTGTACAGTGTGAACTCAGAGCCAGGAT